CCTAGTATAAATTCTTAACAAAATTCAAATAAATTAGACTCGAATATCTTTCAGTTTTCTTAGAGGAATGGTTTATTCGTCGATTCCTAAATTATATATATTAGTTTGTGATTGATAATGTGATAACTTATAAATGTGTGTTAACAATTTAATTAAATAAAAAATAAAAATATTTATCGGAAAATATAACAGTAAATATATCGGAATGATATATAAGTTCGTAGATAACAATTCGAAACAATTAATAACTAAACGTATTGCTTATAAACATAATTCAAAAATATTTTTAAAAAGTTTATAAATCGATATAGTGGAATCTTATAGTAGATTTATCGAACTATTCGAATCATTCAACATTTCATGGTTAGTTGAAAAAATAAATATTATTATGAATGAGATTAAATCTATCATTGAAAAAAAGTTTAAAATTATAATAATTCAAATACGTCAAAATATTTCAGAAAAAAATATTTATAAATTATTCACATCCTGATTCGACATACTATCTAAAATTCTCTAGAGTTATTTCAGTAACCTCTAGAGGTATATTTTAAAATGTTATTGAATGTTTAAATAATAGGTAAATTCAATTCTTGTCTTGCAATGTATAATATAATACTTATCAAGTTATCTTATCAATAATAAGGCCTATTTAATTAAATGTAATGAAATTAATATAAATTATAAGCTCAAATCATTTTTATGTTTTAATAATGTTACATTTTATCGATTCATTAATGTGATCAGCTATTTTTTCTACATTAAAAAAACTTAAAATAATTTTAAATGTCAACGACATTATGATTGTTTACAAGTTATGATTAATCACTTGAGTTCAACAAATTGCCGATTTCATTTAGCTTTTGAGTAAAAATATTCATGAATTAATAATTCGTCTTTATAGCAAGTTTTTAATTTAACCAACACTTGATCTTGGTTTTTTTAATAAATGAACAGTTATTTAGTTGATACTGTTGAAAAAGTATTTTTAAAAAAAAACATTTAGTTTTAGTTATAACTAGAGCTCGGAAGTTGATGCACTTTGAACATTTTTTTTTTAACTTTTTAGATGATGCTCACTTGGCCACAAATGTGTTTCATTAGTATGTGGATCCGAATAACAAATTTTTATTTTGTATTTTTTGGTGTTTGTTATTTTAAAGTCATTTTTTTTCAATTTTTAGGTCTTTTTCCCACATTTTTAGTAATTTTTACTGATTTCACACTAGTTCACTTCTTATCGTTTCTTATCGACCATTATGCAGATAACTTAAGACTTGTCCGATTTTATCTTGCCGACTACGTTCGTCGTTGTCGTGTTGTAGTGAATATTATAATGCTTACATTTTATTATTTTTTCTTATTATTCGATTAGTATCCGATTTTATCTTGTTAATTATAGTCATCGTATCATTTTTATGTTATAGTGAATAATACCTATTAATTTAAATTTTATTATTTTTCGTAATATTTTTGAAATGGCGAAAATTAAAATGTCGGTTAGTGCTCGTCTGCGTTTCCCAATCACTTCAGCGGACGTGGAGAGAAGTTTTTCCAAATATAAATATATATAAATATAAAAATATAAATATAAATATAAAATATTTATAACCAGATAATCGTCATTATTTTACTTTTGATAACATAAAATACGCTCTAATTGTACAATGCAATGATTTTGATTTTTGAGTAATTTGTAAGCTTTGATAAATTTATAAAACAAATGTTTGTTATTTTTTTATTTCATATTTTAAGGAAACTTTTTGTAATTTTTATGCCATATTTTGAGTAATTTGTAAGTTTTGATAAATATATATAGAATTTTATAGTAAAATAGAGTAAAATATTTAAAAAAATGTTTGTAATTTTTTTAAGTAATTTTTATGGATATTTTTTTATCATTTTTATGTCATATTTATATATTTTTTTTAGGTAATTTTTTAATGTTTTTAAGGTCATAAACTTCCGAGCCCTAGTTATAACTATCTCAAAGTATAATATTTACGATTAACTTGTATCGTAATGCATTTTTTGTTCGGAGCACGCAGAGATGAATACATCCCCAATTTATTTCTTTACCGTTCATATTACCATTATGTATATTATACGTGCTAACTTGGTTCAATCTTTCAAACAATTTGACGAGAAACCACTAATTGTAGTACAATGTTTCAAAGTTATAGAATACTGAGGGTTTTTTCTAATTGTATTTAGAACAATAATATATTTATATTGCTTCCCGAGGGTTTAAAAAGTTTGATAATATGAGATTTCAGAATGTGAATATTGTCTTTATAAACAACCCAAATTGCAGTCAATTTAAAATTAATTTATAAATATAAATCTGGTTACTATATTTATAGTAGCAATGAATTTCGTCTATTGGACATAAGTTATAACCAGGAAAAATAAATGTGTAATTATGTAATTTAGAAAAAAAAAAGTTTCTGTTTTGCATTCAGGAAATGCAATTATACATACGTACCTCGTACTCATATGCATGATAACCCTATGCTTGATCAGACGAACATTGTAGTGAACCTATTACGGAATTACAATACAGAATTATGTGTGACGGTTTAACTTTATTTTTTTTATCTAAAAGAGTTTTATTATACGATGAATATATCGTTTCTGGTTTTATAACATTGAAGATTGCTGATTTCCGATCTCAAAATATACATTTTATAAACATGCATATTGATTCCGTAATGGTTATCTTCGTTGGCGCTACGTCGTTCAACTCATAACATAATGATGACTCGTACGCGTCGATTACATAAAATATCTACATAATGCATGCTTTAGTATTCTACACTATTGACCCGTACCTAAGTTATATGTGTAGTTTGCATGTTATACGTAGTCGATGGCGACGGAAAAATAATTGTCATAGTATAAATTTTGTTTAGTAATAAAGTGTGAATAGGAAGTATAAGAGGGTGCGGAGAGACGCCCATACGTTAGAGGAGGAAACGCACAATGACCATGTTACATTTTTTTTTCTTTTTTTGTATGTAAATTTTCACTATGCAATTTTTTCTACACACCATCGGGGCGTAAAACACGCGTTGTTTGGTCCGTGCAAAATTCACATAGAGTAAAAAAATTAAAAAAGACCTGAATACATGAGTGACGATAGTATGACAATAATAATAGTGTACACACTAGAGCTGAAAGCAGATACCGTTACGATATACAAAACACTCACACTACGGATCATTTAGCTATAATATTTTCTCACCATTGTCGTGTCCAATATTAATTTATTTTTAAACACAATAAATTTTATATTCTTATAAATAGTTACGTATAAAGTATTTAAATTTAAAAATGTGACATAATATTATGATTTTCCCAATTGATTTATGCTGTTAAATCAATAGTACAATCGAGAATCATTATGACTCGATCAGAGATGAGCAATTAATAGTTAACAGTAGATTAATCTATATAATTTATAACTTGTCGTTTTTAAGATACAGTTTACAATAAATTAATAATATTAATATTAACGTTGAGGTTCACGTGTTTCAGTTTCTGTTGAATTATCTGCGAGTAACATTTTAATTATTATAATCTTATACTGCTGTCTCAGCAACTATTGGACTTGGATGGTTTATTGACTTACCGGGAAAATTATGACAATACACTAATTTTACCTACTATAAACTATAAATTCTTGTAAGGCACAGCTTATGATTTATACTTATACTTTTTATGAATACCTTTTGGTTTATTTTAAATCTAGAAGCTTACATATAATTAAAAAAAAATATATATATATATAAGTGATCAACATTTAACAAAACTTACTATAGATCTTAATTTTAAAATTCACATCAAAATTAAAACAATTAATTATTACAGTTTTCCACAAGATTAACGTTCAAATTAAGAATGCGTGACCGACGAAACTCGGAAATTTAACTAAGAATCGACTAAAAATTGTATGTTTACATAGTTATTCGATTTACAATTGACCTTTTATGCATGTTTTGATGTATACATTTATAAGTAAATGCTAATTAAATTTTTCCGAAAATGTCGTCTTGTGATTTTTATTAAATATAATAAACATGTTTGTTGGTTTTTTTTTCATAGATATTTTTCCATTAGACTTTCGGTATTATTTTTTAAAAGGTAATATAGTGTGTATGTATATATATGAAATCTGTATCATTAATCGAGTGCAGTTTTCAGTTGCCTGTCTATAAAATATACAATTGTAGACCATGTAAACTTCTTGCTTCGTTCGAAGCCTGAAATCATTAACTTGATAATTTTGTTTGATGCTTTTGATCGGGCTGAGAGAGCATCAGATTTAGCATGAGAATGCGTTGTCTCGGGTGACCTAAGGCACAACCTAACTGAATGAGAAAAAAAATATGCAAATATTGATTAGCCGGTTCGTTACTATTAAAAACGTTTGTCGTTAATCATCAATACACGGTTAATTTAACAGGACGTATAACTTATATAAATATGCAAGCGCTTATTGTCTAACACGTGTGTAGAACATCAAATTAATTTTAGTTTCGCACTCCGACCAAAGCGAATGTAACGTATCGTCTCCTCGGCTTGTAAACGCGAGTGCCCGGTACGCCAACAAATTCCAGTAGGATTTTTTTTTAATCATCGCGTTACCAGCCCAAGAGCTGGTTGGGTTAGACGAGGTTAGGTTAGGTCGTTAACCGATAATCGTTAACGAAAACGATGGGAATCCGTTGCCCGATGTCCGTCGCCCTAGAAGGCCCGGGCACCGGTGGCGTGGGCCGGGATGAAATCACCGGCCCCGGGGAGTTGAGCGAACGTATCGGAACGTGCAGATGCGATTCGGGACGGTGCACCGATCGAGTGCGCGCGTGTCCAGACAACAGCGTGTCCGCAATGCAACGGCAGCGCTCTACGCACGTACACGTAACACGTACGCGACACGTAAGTGTGCGTGAACGCGTATCGCGCGCGGTGACGAGACGGCGGCCGACGGTGGACGGACGGGAGAACACCAGTAACGGTCCGCCGGCCGCCGTGCGAACGTTCCCGGCCTTACGGTATTACGTACGTACGCGCGCGTGTGAGCGTGTACGCGCGTACCACCACTGCGGTCGCGCCGCGGCATGAACGCGCGTCGGCTATCGCTGCGGCCGCCGCGCACCACTCGGCTAACGAGCGTAGAACTTTCGAGACCGATCGGCCGGCAAATCGTAACACGACGCGTTTCCGGACCCGCACACGCAGACACACACGTGCGCGCGCACACACACACGCACACACACACGCGCGCGCGCGCGCTCGTACATTGAACATCACGTACGGGATATGGTCGCGGATGGATAAATGATAACGATTCGCGTACGTGAAATCTGCACGCGCTGGCGGTGCGACGGCTTCAATAGTGTCACATCCGTACGAACATCGCACACGTGTACGTATATGTATGTGGGTATGTTTGCGAGGGGCTTACGGGCGCGAGTCGCATTCGTTTCGCCGGGACGCTTTTCTACCGCACCTCGTCGAACACCCCTCTGCGTACCAGCCGGTACTCGCCGTACAAATATGTCCGTACGAAAGCCGCTGCGCGGTACACGTTCACACGAAACGTACCGACTCGGATGGCGTACGCTGTCTCGACGTAAGAACATGTGTGTGTAATCGAAATTGTTGCGTGTTTCAGGACGTGCGGTAAGATTTTGGTCAAAAACGGCGGACGGAACGGCATTAGTAGCGCCAAGAATTTTGATGCGTTGGAAGATGCCGAACGTGGCGGTCGTCGCTGTCGCCACCGCCGCCGCCCTGTTCCTCGTCACCGCCGAGACGGTGCTGGACGCCGGCGGCGGTAGCGTCGGCAACCGTTTCGGCGGAGGTGGCGGTGGTGGCGGCGGCGGTGGCGGTGAACGACAACGCGGCGCGGCCACCGCCGCCGCGAACCGTCACCAAGACATCGTCGACAGCGAGGACGAGGCCACGCAGCAGACACCGGCCGTCGTCCAGTGCGGTGCGAGTTGCTCGAACCACCAGGAGATCAAGTCGCTGAGCATCGAGCTGATCAAAGCTTCGATACTGAACAAGCTGGGCATGCGGAACCCGCCCGAGTTCGGCGACCGCGTGCCACCGAAGGTGCCCACCGACCTGCCGCCGCTTCAAGAACTGATAGACAAGTACAAAAACGAGCGCGGTGGCTCGGACGGCGGCTCGGTTGTCGTGATTCCACACATTCGGCACAAGTCGCATCACAACGACGCGTCCGGCGACGGCTACGATATGCAAAGCGACGAGGCGACCGTTACGGGTTACGTGCCGGCAATGAACGCGAACAACAAAAACGGCGGCGGCGGTAACGACAACGACTACGATGTTGACGACGACGACGACGAAGACGACTATCACGTCAGAACGCACAAGCTCATAGCATTCGCTCAACCGCGTACGTATAAAGCTGTACAATTCCAAATGACTATATTTCATTATTATTATTTATTTAAATCATCGCGTCATGCCGACGCAGAAGGTTAAGTTAGCATAGCTTTCGTACCGAGAATAATGTCGATTTACGCGTGGGGCATATTGCGTGGGTGGTCTCTAAGACGTACACCCTCCCACGCGCGTGCACGAAAGTCGACTGCGTTCGGAACAGAAATCAGTACCTGATACCACTATACAATTTGGCTAATCGTGCTCCATTCCATTCCGACCGTTGTGATTGGATATCTAAAATTTTTCCTTTAAATTAAATATTTCATGTAACTAAACATTTCAGAAAGTTTTTGTGTTGTAAATTCAACGGGGAACAAATAAGGTCGTGTTTAAGAAAGATCTTTTATTAAATCTGTCGTCCTAGCTTGGTTCTTTCAGTGTCGATTTTTTTCGATTGCATAGATCTTACGATTTTCTTGCACACGGCCTATTTGAAATAGAGATTTTTATAGGTATCTAATCGATTTAAATAAAAATTACGATAGTTTAGTTTTTATCTTATTCATATGCTACAGCTTGGCTTTAGTTCTTACTATAAGTATCTATAATTCGAGCGCAATTTACTAACTCCTAAAAAAAAAAAAACATTGCATCCCTTGACATAGATGACTTTGTGCTAACCAGTGTACTACTACACCGACTATAATACCATACTAAATTAATGTTGTTGCGGTATACTACGCTCGCGCATACACACACATATAACCATTCAGTTGTGTACTTAGTGTACTTGAACACGTTGTCTGACAGCGGGTATGTCGATTGTTGCGCTAGCTCGGCGTTCCCACCAGTCGTACTTATCAATATTCGCAAGCAGATTTATTTTTTCCCAACCGCCTTCGTAGAGCAAAGTAGTCTGGTCGAGTCATATAAGGGTAATGAAAGAGTGGTGGGTATAAATCACCGAGAAAATCTACAGTTGTTTAACTACAAAATCCCGTTATGTTTACTTTGTATTTTATTTATCTACCTTTACAGTCATTATTTATTTACGTTAATGGCATTTTTTTTCTAACAAATCGAAATATATTTATTGCCGATCTCCATTTTTTGAAACACATTGTATATCATTCGATCTCTTATGATAGATTATGTAAGATATGTAAGATCCACAAAATTATTTAATACCCGTATTGTTAAAAATTATTAGTTACATTTTATAAAAATGTATTTTAATTAATTAATGGAACATTGATATCAATTTGATCATCGTTTTTTTAGCTCATATTAATTGTTTCAGATTGTGTAAGCGATGTAAAGATTGAGGAATAGCTTGGTTGTACAATGTTCTATTTTGTCTTTGTAATATTTTGTTTTTTTTTTTTTTCGAAAATTCGCTTGAAGAAATGTTTCGAAAGTTTTATTCAAACACGCATCAATCGATTAGAAGTATAATTAAAATGTTATTTTAAAATATTAATTCGCAATTATAATTAATATCTATTATACTAATCAAAAATCAATAAAATTAGTAAAATATACAGTTTCAATTATTTTGTAATAATTTGGAAAATATTAATCCTAGAGTAATACAAATATTCTATAGGTCATCATTTATTTCATCATTTATTTTAGTTGTTATTAGAAATTTATGAGATCTGATTTTCAAAACTTATTTTATTTTTTAAACTGAAATGTTTAAATTTTTTTTTATAACACGGAAAATAATTATATTGTTTACATACATAATTATCATATTATTAGTAATGTTATCATTTGATATTTAAATTAATATGCATTAATAATTCTATTATTGTTCGTTTTATTATGATACATTATATTTTTGTTACATATTTTAAGAATTATTAACTCATTGTTGTTGCATATAATTAAGTACATATTTTAATATGTATTTATGCATATATTTCATTATATTAAAGTACAGAATTTCCCTTGTCCATTACATTCAGTTAACATTTATAAGCGTTATTTTAAGCAGAATATTAGTTTAACAGTTACATATTTGAATAATTAAACATAATATGGTAATTACGTGTCTACGTGTAGCTTAATTATTAAGGTGGTAATGATGAATTATCATTTTTTTTTTTTCATATAAGACTGAATATATCTTAAATTTGATGTAATCATGTAACATATAATTACTAAAATTGCATTTAAAAGAAGTATTAATAGTCTGCGGGTTAACTATAATCCTCTGATATAATGAAAATATGTCTCGCATACAGTGATAGTAAAAATTACACAATAAAAGTACTTTGTATAATTTCTTACTCGGAGAAAATAAAAATTCAATTTCGCGATAAAATTGTCTTTAGCTTGCGGTTGGGTTAGAATATATAATATTACAATCATGGATCATTATATAAATTTATTATCTACGTGATTTCATACCTTATAATGCACGCACAGTAATTTACTACATTTTTAACTCTTTTTAAGAAATGTCACTGTATGTGCAATAAATGCATGTGTAATAGCTGTTTTTAGACAGGTTAAATATAACAAGAGAAAAAAAACTGTCATGTCGATTCCAGGATGCTCGTATTTCGACTTAAGGGTGAAGCTCTATAATTCGCCGTCTTAACTCTCCGTCGTTGAATACGAATTTTCAGGGTTGCTTCAGTAATATACACCTGTAATATAATAATATAAATAATAAATGTAAACATATATATATATACTTAATGGACCTACAGTGTGGTTACATAATGATCGGTAACTAGAATATGTACATAATGTTGGCCGTGGCAGGGAAAGGGAATATCGATCGATCTTTCGCAGAGTTTAATGCACCCGACTTGGGCGCGACTGAGGTGTTTTATGAATTTCAAATAACATTGTACGCGTATTACAATATCCTATACTAGGTGTAGTATGGTCTCGGACTACGTAAGCACGCGGGTGCTCGAGCCCAGGTCAAGAAATTAATATTAAGGAAGGTTTTCGTTAAATACATACCTTATATTACGTTGGCAATAGTGTTTTGGTGGAAAGTTTTTGTTGCGTGTGACAATGGTTTACGATAAGTGATAATTTAAGCTGAGAATTGAAGTTAAAATTGATTTGAGCTCAATTGTTACTCAGTCTGTAACAATGTACATAAAAATAGGTAATGACATTTATCAGAATCGTTGAAAAATCTTAATTATGCAAAAAGTCTTATCCGTTTCTGTAAAGTAATATAAATGTAACTTTTACTTTTTAAAGTATCGTAAACTTTTTCAAATAATATATAATATATTTTATATCGATGTTGTATGTCAGTATAATGAAATAAAATTTTAATTTATCAAATTGGGAACTTGTTAAAACTTGTTTAACTTTACTAAAAAAATGATGAAAATCTGAAAAATTATGTGGTTTAATTTTCATTAGCTTAATCGAATTTAACTTTTCAAATATTTTGGAAATAATTGACAGTTATTTGAGGTACTCGTATAAAAAAAATATTAACCTCAAAAGTTAAATTTTGATTTTTTTCATATTTAATTTCATCTGAAGACATTTTTTGTATTACACTCAAACTTAGTGGCGTATTTATGGGAATGGGGGGGGGGGGTTCTGGAGTTTCTCCTCCACAAAAAAATATTTGAAAACGTCAAATTTTAAACATTTCAGTAATATAATAATTTCAGTTTATTTATTAAATTAAGTATTTAAGTATAATGAAAAAAAAATATACCTATATATAAAAAAAAATATTAAGATCGCTAATAATTAAATTGTAATCCGATAATAATAATAACAATCTACCGCACGGTACTCACACACACATGGTATATAAATAATCTAATGTGGGGAAATAATCGGTCGATAAGAATATCAATATCTTAGTCCGTGACTGTCACGTCTTGTCAGTTGTTAGCAGGCCCGTATTTAGGGGAGAGGGCACAAATAGGCACATGCCCGGGGGCGTCAAGTCTCAGAGGCAATAAAATATTTTATAATTTATTTATTTTAAAAATGATGTACCTAATGAAAAAAATAAAATAAAAAAAATAAAATAATATATTTTACTATTTTATAGTCTGTAAATTAAAAAAAAAAAGGATATTGTATGTTTTATTATGTTATAATTTGTTTAATTTGTTAATTAAAAAAAGTATTAAACGATTTTCATTTATAAGTTATATTTTAATATTAAAGAATTTAAATATTAAAATATTAAATATTAATTTAATTTATTAATTTTATTAAATATTAATATTATTTAAATATTAAAAGAATTTAATATTAAAGAATCTCGATTATGGACGAAATAATAAGTGTTATATTATTATTATTTATTTAGGATGAGGGCATAAATTATATGCCCGGGGACGCCAAATTTTTAAATATGGGCCTGGTTGTCAGTATGCACTATGCATCTATACGCAACATAAAGTAATATAAAATACGATTAATACGATCATACGTTTAATTTAGTTCGATTTCATTAATTTATTTTCATTTAATTGTTGAGTTGGTATTGAAAGAATACTGAAATGGAGCCAATAAAAAAAAAAAAAAATTCAAAAATTTCAGAAAAAACTTAATGGCCTTGCCATGCTATCTATTTGTTGAGATTTTGACTTTCAAACCGATGAAGTTTTTGATGATTTGGCAAATAAAAAAAGGAAAACTAGAATTTACAGTATAATTTGTAATTTTATTATAGTAGTATGTCAATAGTTTGATTTCAATAAGTTAATAAAAAACCTAACAATAAGTTGATAAAGAACGTTTTATACTAATTTATATAATAATTTCACTATTAGGTATGACACCTCCCCCGAAAAAAAAAAGTTTCTAAATACGCCACTGCTCAAACTGTATTCTATTGAAACATTAAACATACATTAAGCAACATTTAGCAAAAATTGTTATTTCTGTTCTATATAAATTGTTATAACTTGTTAATATTTGAATGGATTTTGGTACCTATTATAAAGATATAATAATAGTTATTATCATACAGTATAAAAATTATAAACATAAACAATTATTTCTAATGAAATGTATGCTGAATTATATGGTTATTAATTTGGAAGTACATTCGTTGTTATTATTTTTTATGAATTAATAATTTTTTGTTTCCAAGAAAACTATATTGCCAAAAATTAAATATAAAAAAAAAATGTAATTATTTTGAATTAATTGAACGGTTTTACAAAATGATAAATATTTACATATAATCGACAAAATATAATAGCGAACATAATTTGAAACCAGATTTGAATATATAATAATAACAATAATATATATCGACTAATTTCTATAAAACATTACATCTGATAGGTACATGCCATTTAGTGCCATTTAGTCATTTAGTGTTATGCGAAATCGTTGAAACCAAATAATTGTGTTTAGTTCGTTTACGGAATTTGTAACATATTGCAACATATAGGTCGACCCATCGAATTTAATACTGACTCGTGTACCTATTTTCTACGATTATGTCGCCGAACGAATATTTTCGGTTTGATTTACACGGCGCGCGAAACTTCGAGAAAACTATAGCTACGCTATTGCGCTGCTCGTCTAAATTTTAGATTCTAAAATGTAATTATACGCAAAGGACAGCATATACTATAACTATGTGTGTCATTATTTTATCAAATGGAATTCGGTTTGACGGGTGATTGATCGCTGTTTAAACCGGTAGCGCGGAATATTCGCTATGTATACTGCAGGGTGCTTTTGTCCGGGACACGTGCGTGTGTACGCATTATACAACAAAAATATACACCGTGCAGTCGTAACAAAAAGTAGAGGTTAATTTTTTCTTTTTATTTCTGTTCGGAGTAACGGGACGCGTAGGTACATGTAATATTAATAATAATAATAATAATAATAATAATAATAATAATAATAATAATA